GGTGATACCGCAGTCCCAGCATGGGGTGTCAGTGATACCAATCCTGGTGTGGGACTGTGAGGTTTTGGTGGTGCCCAGGCGTGGGAATTCACTGATGCCAGTTGTTACAGAGACTTCCCAGTCTGACCATTCCCAAGACTCACTGGCAGCCACACTCCCACCACCAGAGAGTGTCACTGCTGGGACTGGAGCCCCCTCAGAGCAGCAGCTCCAGTGGCCCAGTGGGTCCCACCAGCCTCCCCACATCCCCCCCTCACAATTCCCCCTCAGGTTTCCCATGGCAGAGTCTCAGATGCCTTGTTCCATGAAGCCATGGATTCCGAGCACAGTAACACAGAAACAGCTTGAGTTGGTGCTTCTGAGGAGGGACCCCCAACAAAGGACCATGGGCTTTTATGCCCTCACAGGCTCCCCATGTACAAATCTCCCTCTTCCTCCTGAGCCCTCGGCTCCTGCTCCCCGCTCCCTGTCCATCCACCTTGCTGTCTTCATCTCCTTTTTAATCCAGAATGTTGGCAATTCCCACTTCCTGCTGTGTATCTCGGTGTCCTGTCATCTCACCCATTCTTGTGCCCTTTGTTATCTCAGAGGTGGGCTCTGTCTCCCACAGCTCAGCCTGCAGCTCAGTCAGCACCTGGACCAGACTGGTTCCTCAGCACCAGTTTGGGGCTGGGACATTTTGTGATGTCTCAGTCCTGGTGTGAGCGTGGAGAGGTTCTGGTGGTGCCACAGTCCTGGTACAAGGCTTTGGTGGTGCCACAGTCCTGGTGTGGAAATTCAGGGATGCCATTCCTGGTTTGGGGCTGGGATGCTTTGTGGTGTCCCAGTATGAGGGTGTGAGGAGGTTTCGGTGGTGCCACAGGCCTGCCATGATCTTTTGGTGAGGCCAGTGCTGGTTTGTGACTGGGTGTTTGGGTGATGCTGCAGTCCCAGTGTGGGGCTGGAGAGGTCTCAATGATGCCAAGGTTTTGCCATAGGGTTTTGGTGCTGCCAGTGCAAGTGTGGGGCTGGGAGGTTTTGGTGATGCTTTGGTCCCAGTGTGGGACTAGAGGGAAGTTTTGGCCATGCCCCAGTACCAACACAGAGCTGGGAAGTTCTGGTGATGCCCCAGTCCTGGTGTGGGGCTGGGGAGGTTTTGGTGGTGCCCTAGTCCTGGTCTGTGGGGTTGAGGGGAGTTTTGGTGATACCCCAGTCCTGATGTGGGAATTGGGTGATGCCAGTTCTGGTGTGGGACTGGCAAATTTTGGTGATGCCACAGTCTTGGCATGGAGATGGGGAGGTTTCAGTTTTGGCAGTCCTGCTGTGGGGTTTTGGGTGATGCCAGACCAGGTGTGGGGCTGGGGAGGTTTTGTTGGTGCCTCAGCCCTGTGTGGGGTTTTGGTGATGCCAGTCCAGCTATGGGAATTTGGTGATGCCAGTCCTGGTTTGGGGCTGGGAAGGTTTTTGTCGGTCCTGGCACGAGGCTGGGGAAGGTTTGGTGGTGCCCTGGCCCTGCTGTAGGGCTGGGAGAAGCTTTGGAGCTGGGAAGTGCTGGTGATGCCCCAGTCCTGCAGTGGGGTTTCGGTGATGGATGCCGGTTGCGGTGTGGAGCCGGGTAGATTGTGGCGGTGCCACCGCCCTGGCACGAGCCCCAGCACTGAGCCCAGCTCCCCCTGTGCCAGGTGCTTCTGCGTGGAGTGCGTGGACCTGCTGGTGGGCCCGGGGGCGGCGCAGGCGGCCATCAAGGAGGACCCCTGGAACTGCTACATGTGCGGCCATAAGGGGGTGTACGGGCTGCTGCGGCGGCGGGAGGACTGGCCCTCGCGTCTCCAGATGTTCTTCGCCAACAACCACGACCAGGAGTTTGTGAGTGACCCCTCTCTTCCCCCAGCCCCCTCCCCGCTGCCCCCCAGCCCCCTGCCCACTGACCTCCCCGTGGCTCTCAGGACCCACCGAAGGTGTACCCGCCCGTGCCGGCCGAGAAGAGGAAGCCCATCCGGGTGCTCTCGCTCTTCGACGGCATCGCCACAGGTGGGTGGGGGTCCCTGGGGGTCCCAGGGCAGAGCTTCCCTGGGCTGTGTTTGGGATTGGGGGTGGGGAAGCAGCCTGCCTGCACCCCACAGCCAACCAGCCTTGGGGCAGGGGGCATGGACACATCTGTGGGACTGTCCCCGTGGGCAGCCCCTCCTGTCTGCTCTGTCCCAGGGGTCCACACCAGTGGGGATCCAGGGGATGGCCCAGGAGTGGCGGGACAGGTAGGGGCCCATCGTCCATCCCCATCACCCACCCCCTGCTGCTCCCACAGGGCTGCTGGTGCTGAAGGACCTGGGCATCCAGGTGGACAGGTACATTGCCTCCGAGGTGTGCGAGGACTCCATCACCGTGGGCATGGTGAGGCACCAGGGCAAGATCATGTACGTCGGGGACGTCCGCAACGTCACCCAGAAACACGTACGTCCTGTCCTGATCCCACGGACCCCCTGGCACCCCCCAACCGCCCCTGTCCCCACATGGGGCCGGTCCCTCGTCCTCAGGAGGCTGAGGACAGACCTCAGGGGCCTGCAGCTTCCTACCAAGGGGCAACACCAACCCCTGCTCTCAGTGACCAGTGACAGCACCCAGGGAAGGGCTGGAGCTGTGCCAGGGTGGGTCAGGCTGGATCTCAGGGAAAGGTTCTTCCCCTAGAGGGTGTTTGGGCACTGAACGAGCTGCCCAGGGCAGCGGGCACAGCGCCAAGGCTGCCAGAGCTCAGGGACAATGCTCTGAGGGACAGGGTAGGATTGTTGGGGTGTCTGTGCAGGGCCAAGGAGTTAGAGTGATGATCCTTGTGAGTCCCTTCCTGCTCAGGACATTCCATGATTTTCTGATCCCACTGGGAGCTTGGTCACCATCACCCCCTGTGTCCCTGAGGCCAAGGCAGTGCTGAGCTCACCAAGGGTCTCCTCTTCCTCTTGCAGATACAGGAATGGGGCCCCTTCGACCTGGTGATCGGGGGGAGCCCCTGCAATGACCTCTCCATCGTCAACCCAGCCAGGAAGGGGCTCTATGGTAGGAATGTGTCCACGGGGCTGGACCCCACTGCCGGGCCCCAGGGCTAGCACGGGCCCCCCACCCTGACCCTGGCCCCCTCCTCTCTCCTCCCAGAGGGCACTGGGCGCCTCTTCTTTGAGTTCTACCGCCTGCTCCACGAAGCCCGGCCCAAGGAGGGCGACGACCGGCCCTTCTTCTGGCTCTTCGAGAACGTGGTGGCCATGGGGGTGAGCGACAAGAGGGACATCTCACGCTTCCTGGAGGTCAGTGCCTGCCTGGGGTCACCCCCCTAACAGCCCCTGGGACCCCGAGGGTCCTGTTCTCAACACGAGGGGCTCCCGAGCCCCACTGACCCCCCACTCCCCCTCCTGCAGTCCAACCCCGTCATGATTGATGCCAAAGAAGTGTCTGCAGCACACCGGGCACGGTACTTCTGGGGGAACCTGCCCGGGATGAACAGGTTGGTGAGAGCCCCGCAAAGCTGAGCCCCTGGCCCAGCTCCGGGAGGGTGGGCTGCACCTCTGGGTTCCCCCCTCACCCCTGACATGGCCCTGGGGGTCCCCTGACCCTGATCAGTGCTGGGAGAGCAAGAGTCTCACAAAGAGGGGATGGCACACCCCAGAAATCCAGCATGGTGCTCCTATGGAGGGTGCTGGTCCTACCCCTGCTCCCTTGTGCTGCCCTTTGTGTCCCTCCTAGATGGTGGCTGTGGTGGCCCATGGCTGGTGGCCACAGACCAGCCCCAATGGGAATCAGCTGCTTCTTGCCATTGCCTGTCACAACCCCCCAAAACAGCCGTGGCTGCCCTGTGCCCCCCACAAACCCCATCTGGAAACCTGCCCTGCACCCACGGGGGTCAGTCTGGGGACACTGACACCCCCTGCCCACCATCTCTCCCCTCTCAGGCCACTCGCCTCCACTGTCAACGATAAGCTGGAGCTGCAGGAGTGCCTGGAGCACGGCAGAATAGCAAAGGTCAGCTGGGGTGGGCAGTGGAGTATCAAGGGATGGAGGGTGGTCCCTGGCGGTCCCAGTCTCCTGGGGGTGCAGGGGGGGGTCCCATGAGGATTAAGGAGGGACACAGTGGTGGTACTGTGGAGTGGTGGGAGTTGCCTGCCTGTGAGCACCCGGTCAGTGGCTCAGGGGGCTCTGTCCCACTGCTCAGCGTGATGAGCCTGTGCCTGTGAGCACCCAGTGTTGGGGGAGTTCTGGTAGGTCGGGGGGCTCCAGTGTGTCAGGGGGCTTCATCCCACCCCCGGCGTGACCAGCCTGTGCCTCTTGCAGTTCAGCAAAGTGCGAACCATCACCACTCGTTCCAACTCCATCAAGCAGGGCAAGGACCAGCACTTCCCCGTGTTCATGAACGAGAAGGAGGACATCCTGTGGTGCACGGAGATGGAGAGGTACGGGGGGCTCCGGGGGCTCTGTGGCCGCAGCACCACATCCCACCCGCACCCCTGACCCCTCCTCTCCCCTCCCGCGCCCCGCAGGGTCTTCGGCTTCCCGGTGCACTACACGGACGTGTCCAACATGAGCCGCCTGGCCCGGCAGAGACTGCTCGGCAGGTCCTGGAGCGTGCCGGTGATCCGCCACCTCTTCGCGCCCCTGAAGGAATACTTTGCCTGCGTTTAGAGACGGGCAGGAACTGGTGACACGGAGCGAGTCGGAAACAAACCCATCCACGCCAAGAGAAGTGAACACACGGAATGAGAGAAGAGTCAGCACCCAGAAGAGAGATGGGATTTCGCAGCCCGACGGGAACCCAGCACATGTCTCCCCGAGCGAAAGGGGTCGGTGTCCTCTCCTGAATTTCCAAGGGTCAGCTTTAGCCTATCGAAAAACAAACAAAAACCACAAAAAAGCAAACAACGACAAAAAAAAAAAAAAAAGTCGAAACGAAACAAAACGAAAACAGAAAAAAAGAAAAAAAAAAGAAGAAGAAGAAAAAGGAAAGAAACAAAAACCAAAACCATTTTTTTTGGGGTAACCTTTTAATTTTCCGCTCTTTTCTGGCTGGGTTTTCCTGTCGGTTTGGTTTCCGCTTCTCGGAGCAGCGGGCGAGACGAGACGCCGTCGCCAGCACCGCTCTCGGAGGAGGGGAAACGGCAGTGGGAAAGCCCAGCCGGGAGGGAGGCGGAGGCGAAGGAGACCCGCTCTGCTCCGAGACCCGCTCCGTCCGCGCCCAGCGCCCGCCGGCCCGGCCCCGGCAGCGCCCGGCGGCTCCAGCGCCCGGCGGCTCCAGCGCCCGGCGGCTGAGCCTCGCTCTGTTCCACCAGCACCGCTCTCCGGTGACATGGAGCCAACCCGCCCGGCAGGGAGGCCGGGAACACACATGCCACACACACACCTTTTCTACAGTATTTTGGGTGCCTACCACATGGAAACCTTGAAGAGAGCAGATTCTAGAAGCCGCTGTTACCTCTTGTTTACAGTTTATATATATATGATAGATATGAGATATAGATATATATATATATAAAAGGTACTGTTACTACTGTACAACCTGACTTCATAATGGTGCTTTACACAGCGGGGTGAGTCGAGACATCAGCTTCCACGTTGCCTTACGTGCCGGGCCTTTCCGAGCGAGCGGCAGGGCCGGGGCGGCCGGGCGGAAGCGTCTCCATCCTGAGTCATGCAATAACCTTTTTCTGTCCCGAACGGAAGCGCCTCGGCGGAGCCCCCCTGCCCCGCCGGCGCCGCCGCCCCGCGCTCCCACAGCGTACTGGTGCTCTTCTGCGTACGTGGCGTCCGGCAGAGCCGGTGCTGGGTGTCCCCCGGTGCCCCGGCGGCAGCGGGGGGTCCTGCCCCCGGCCCTGCCCCTTCCCGCGGGGCCTGCCTGCCGGGGCGGCGCGGGGCACAGGTGCTGCCAACAGGCTCTTGCTGCGGGCGGTGGCGGGGACGCCGGCAGGTCAAGGGGGACAGAACGGTGCTGGTGCCGGAGCGCAGCCGGGGCGCTTCTGGCATGGCACAGGGATGGCTGCGGGCCCCGGACCCTGGTGCTACATCCGCGGGGCCGGGCTGGCGGCAGGAGGGCGATGCCCCGGCGAGCCGGGATGGGGCCCCGGCGGTGTCACCGCGGGCGCCGGGGCATCGCTCCTCTGCTCGTGCGTGGTTTGGAGCGAGCACATCCCCCCGGTGCCCCTGTGGGCTGGCCCCGTGCCCCGCTGGGGGGTGACGGGTGCCCGTGGGGACGTGGCGGTGGCAGTGTCGGTGCCGGGAGCTGCGGTGGCAGGAGCCGTGGTGTGAGCTGGCAGGGCGCGGGCAGGTGCTGGCAGTGCGGTGGATGGTGCTACTGGTCTGGCAGCTGTGGTGCTGCAGGGTGCAGCCGTGGTGCCCGTGGGGCGGCCGGACCCGGTGGTGCTACGGCATGGGGAGGCTCCTGGGGGGTCTCGGCCCGTCGCCGTCTCTTCTCTAACTGTGAAAGGTGCGGGGCCGCGGCGCTCGCTGCCGGGTGCTGGCTATGGCAGCGAGCCGTGCCCGCGGCCCAGGGTGCTCAGAGGTGCTGGGACCGACGGCGGCGAGGCAGGCGGGGGGCAGCCCTGGGGCCCCCCCACCTCCCCACCCCGCCTGGTGCTACCAGGGGCCCGGGGGCCCCTCTGTGGGTGCGGCGGGCGGGGGGAGCTGAGCTGGCGCGGGAGCCGCAGTGGGGGCACTGCGGGGCCCGGCTTTGTCAGGTAGTGAAGGTGGTGGGACGGCCCCAGGCTCTGAGCCGGGCTCTGGGCTCCGACTCGCTCCTGGGGCTGGATCCCTGCGGTGCCAGGGCCGGGTGGCACAGGCCCATTGCACCGGGCACAGTTCTGCCTGGTGCAGTGTGAGCCTCGCACGGCCCCACAGCCCTGTTTGTGGGGCTGCTGTGGCCCCACATGTCCTGGGTGGGGCACAGTGGGCACTGCAGGTCCTGCACGGCCCTGCAGCACCACCTGAGTCTTGTTTGGCCCTGCAGCACTGCTTGCAGGTCCTGCACAGCTCCGTGGCACTGGCTGTGGGTCCTGCCTGGCCCCACAGCCCCAGGTGCAAGTGCTGCACAGCCCTTCAGTGCTGTTTGCAGGTCCTGCACGGCCCCGCAGTGTCGTTTGCGGGTCCTGCACGGCCCTGTGGCACTGGGTGCTGATCCTGCATGGCCTTGAGGTGCTGGGTGCTGGTCCTGCACGGCCCTGCAACGTTGTTGGCAGGTCCTGCATGGCCCTGTGGCACTGGGTGCTGGTCCTGTGTGACCCACAGCTCTGGGTGCTGGTCCTTTGTGGCCCTGCAGCTCTGGGTGCTGGTGCTGCACCATCCTGCGGTGCTGTCGGTGGGTTCTGTGTGGCCACGTACCAGGTTTGGGGGTCCCGGCGGACCCCCCGGCCCGGCCCTGCGGCGCCTCCTGGGACCCTCTTGGCCCTGCTGCACCTTCGGGGGGGTGCTGGGTCCCAGCGGGTGCCGTGGTGAGGGGCCGGCCCGGCGCGGCGTTGGCACATCCCAGGCAGGCCGGCTCCGGAGCCGGTGCCGGTGGGAAGCAGGTTCCCGCTGGGAAAAGGTGCCGGTGGCGGCGGGGACCCGGTGGGGACAGTGGGGATGCCTGGGGCAAAAGGCGTTCAGTTTTTAATGTACCCGACTCACGTCTTTTTTTAAAAACAACCAGACAAATTCTGTTGCACAGCCCTAGATGAAAACTCAAAATAACACAGAAAGGCCTAAATTCCTTAAGATCCGCCGAGGGAGTGGGGACAAACACGGTGCTAAAACATTTTATTAAAAATATATATTGTTAAATTAAGTCTGCTGTCTGGACAATGACTGTTTTGTTTCTCGTAGTGGAGTTTCAAAGAGCACTATTATTTTACTCTTATATATTATTATTAAAAAAAAAAACAAAAAGAAAAAGGCATTTTAACTTTGTACTTGAAAACTAAACGAGAGATTTCATGTGTTTTAGCCTAGACATTGAAGTAGCTGACGCTTAACTATTTGTGGGAATCATGTACTCATCATCCCAAGGAATACGCGCGTAGAGCTGGTACCCTCCTTCCTCCCTTTGATTTGGCTCCGCCGCCACATTCCTGGCGCCGCCGCGGCCGCCCCGGCTGCTCTCCCTCCCCTTTTCCCACCCCCAGCCCCAAACCAACCCCCCCCGGTTTATTTTCTACTTCTCTCTCGGTTCGTTGCCCCCGTTTTTTGTTGGTTTGTTTTTTTAGGGTCGCTTCTCTATTTATTGCCGCTGAACTGTGCATTTCACGGCCGGAGGTGCCACGGGCGCCCGGCGCTGTTGTATCTGTGTGAGTATTGCTCGTGACATAGCTGTTCTGAACTAATAAAGGTCAATGCGTGCAGCAGATGTAGAAAGTCTGTCCGTCCCGCTTCCATCCCATCCTCCTTTTCTTTTTTCTTTGGTGCCCAGAAGAGTATAATACAGACAAGCTCCTTTCTAATGTACTTGTGCTGGAGAACACTTGAATAAATGTCCTGTTTTGTGCAAAAAAAAAAAAGAGAAAAAAAGAGGAAAAAAAAAAAGAGAGAAAAAAAAACCTTACGTGTGGTTGTGTGGTCTGTGAGTGGTGGGGGGGGAGGGATTCCTGGAGGAAGGGAAGTGATGGTGGGATCCCAGTGGTGGTGGGATCCCAGCACTGTTGCCGTGACCCTGGTGGGCAGTGGGGTCCAAGTGCAGATGGGGAAGTCCAGGTGATGGTGGGGTCCCAGCAGATGATGGGTCCCAAGGGGTGGTAGGATCCCAGAAGGCGTGGTCCCAGTGGGGTCCCAAGGGGGATGGGGTTTAGGCACTGGTGCTTGGATCCTGGTGACTGCAGTCCTAATGGGTTGTGGGATCCCAGAGGACAATGGGGTCACAGCAGGTGGGAGGATCCCGGCACCGTTGATGGGATCTGGGTGTGGTGGGGCCCTGGAAGGTGGTGGGATCCAGGTGACTGTGGGGTCCTGGAGGGCAGTGGGGTTCCAGTGGGTGGTGGGATCCAGGCAGTGGTGCAGTTCCAGTGGGAACTGGGGTCCTGGTGGGCAGTGAATGGGGTCCTGGCAGATGGTGGGGTCCTGGTGGGCACTTAGGTCTCATCAGGTGGTGGGGTCCAGGGGACAGTGGGGTGTGGGTGAACAGTGGGGTTGCAGCATCGGTGGGGTTCCAGCCCAGAGATGATGAGGTCCTGATGGGTTCTGGGGGCAGTGGAGTCCCAGTCCTGGGGCAGGGGCTGTGGGCTGAGCCCAGCTCCTCAGGGCACTGGGGCCTTAGCTCGTGCAGTCGTGGGCCGGGGTGTGGGGGTGCAGAGGCCCCAGCCCAGCGGGACCCCCCATTTCTGCCCCGTGAACTGTGGGTCAGGAAACTGCCCTGCACAGCTCCTGCCTCGGCTTCCACTCCAGCCGGGCAGCACTGGGGGGATGGTGACACTCCTGGGGACCCCTGGTCCCTGTGCTGGCCCCAAAGCTGGTGGGAGATGGAGCATGACTGAGGGGAGCCCCTGGGGTTGATGAGGGGACACGGGGTGGGGAAGTGGTGGCTCTGACAGGTGTGACAGTGGCTCAGGCACCTGTGTTCTGCGGGGGGGGATGTGAGCAGGAGCCACAGGGCTGTCAAAGGACAAGGCCAAGTGCTGGTGCTGCACCTGGAGGGGGGCAACCCCCAGAATCAGTCCTGGCTGAGGATGAATGGATGGAGAGCAGCCCTGGGGAGAAGGACTTGGAGTACTGGTGAGTGAGGGGCTGGATGTGACCCATCCCAAAAACTCCCCATGCCCTGGGCTGATCCCAGCGTGAGCAGAAGGAGAGGGGGGGATCCTGCCCCTCTGCCCCCTCAGCTGAGACCCCCCTGCAGAGCTGCCTCCAGCTCGGGGGACTGTTAGGAGTTAAAGAGCACAGTTCTGCTCTCCGGGCATTAGGAAGATGAATTCAGTGATCTCAGATCTAGAGGGAGGTTAACAAAGCTTGTGAAGGAGGATGTGTCGCTGAGAGTGGATACAAAGAATACAGAATTTATGGCCACAAGGACGTTTGGTAGAACCCCCAAGATAAGGAAGAAACCACTAAAACCAGCTCAGCAATTGTGCAGAAATCAGCTCCAGCTGAGGAAAAGGTAATTCCAGCAGGGGCAGATCATGACCACCAACTCATGGACTGCCAACCCAAGAAACCCAACAACCCAAAGGAAGAGAGAGACTGAGCATTCAGAGTAATTAGCAGGGAAAGAGAGAGAATCATTTAACCAATAAAAGATAGAATACTAATTAATAAGAGAACTATGCAAGTTGTAGCCAATGAACACTAATTCCTTTGTTTGCTAAAATGTATGAACAGTGAAAACATTAGAAAGCTAGGGGTGGGCTTTGTGGATTTTCCACCCAGCCCCTCCTTTTGCACAGAGCTATGAACTGGGGCCTCCATCCCACCACCAAGAAGCCCAGGGTGAAGAAGAACCAAAGGGATTTCGCTGGATCTATGGGTGGGACTCTCTTTCTCTCCCTCCCTCTCCTCTTTTCTATTTCTTTCTATCTTTACTTCATATTTATTGTTAAATAAAATCCATGTTGTTGATTTCAGCACATGGTCTCGTTCACACCTGAATTTGGGCACAGGCATCTCTAATCATCAGATCTTAATGAGGTTCCCAAGAGCACACTGGAGCTGCTGGAGACAGTCCAGAGGAGGCCACAGAGATGCTGCCAGGGCTGGAGCCCCTCTGCTCTGGAGCCAGGCTGGGAGAGCTGGGGGGGCTCACCTGGAGAAGAGAAGGATCCAGGGAGACCTGAGAGCCCCTTCCAGAGCCTAAAGGGGCTCCAGGAGAGCTGGAGAGGGACTGGGGACAAGGGGGAATGGCTTCCTGCTGCCAGAGGGCAGGGTTAGTTGGGATACTGGGAAGAGATTCTTGGCTGTGAGGATGGGCAGGCCCTGGCACAGGTTGGCCAGAGAAGCTGTGGCTGCCCCTGGATCCCTGGAAGTGTCCAAGGACAGGTTGGACGGGGCTTGGAGCAACCTGGGCTGGTGGAAGGTGTCCCTGCCCATGGCAGGGGGAGGAATAGGATGAAGTTGAGGTCCCTTCCCATCCAAGTCCGTGACTCTGTGATGACCAAACATTCAAGGACCAGTCTCTGTGCCCATGGGTGCTGCTGCTCTGGGGTGGAGCTGCTGGAGAAGGAACCAGCAGGGACCTGACAAGGACAAATTCCACACCCTGCCCCAAGGTAGGAAGAGCTCCTGACAGTGGCATGGGCTGGGGCAGCTCTGTGGGAAGGGCCTGGGGGTCCTGGCAGACACAAACTGAAGGTGTGTGCCCAGTGCCCTCTAATTCAGGGGAAACAGCACAGCCCAGGAGCCACCAAAGTGCTCAGGGGAGGGGACCTGGTAGAACTGGGCAGTGCCCTAGGACAGGGTGGCACAGCAGGGATGGGATGGGAACTGGGGAGTGGGATGGGGCAGCAGGTCCCCCAGCCTCATGTCCCCACTGCTGCACCAGCTCCGACACCACGGGTGCCAAGGGCCACATCCAGCACAGCAGGTGCCCAGTGCCACCAGTCCCTGAACCTGCTCACAGGGGATGAGATAGGAACAGCACCAGGGGATCCTGTGTCCTGTCCCCAGCATCGGGAGCCTGAGGCCACCGAGATGGGCTGTGCTGGGCACTGCTGGACGTTAGTGGGAAATACTGGATGTTACTGGTCATTACTGGCTGTCACTGTGCTGTGGGATCTGCCAGGCTGTGCTGGGCACTACTGGGTGTTACTGGACTGTACTGGGTCCAACAAGGCTGCACTGGGAACCCCTGGGTATTACTGGGTGCTGCTGGATGTTACTGGGCACTGCTGGGTGTTACTGGGCTGTGCTAGGAGGGGCGTATGGGGATGTCGTGGGGGGCCGTGGGGGGAGCGATGAGATGCTCTGGGGCTGTCGGGGCGGTCATGGGGAACAGTTGGATGCCATGGGAGGGATCTGCGATGGGGGCTGCCATGGGGTACCGTGGGGGGCTGTGGGGGGACGATGGGGGGCCGCTGGTTGCCGTGGGGTGATGCTCCGGGGAGGTTACTCCGGGGGTGGGCTGTGGGCAGGAGCCGTGTGGGGTCTCAGGGGGTCCCAGGGGGCTCAGGGGGTCTCGGGGGGCTCAGGGGGGCTCGGGGGGGTTCCCGACCGGTCACGGGGGTCGCCCCGCGCGCTCCGTCACCACGGCAACGGCGCGTGCAGGGAGCGGGGGCGGGGCCGCGGGCCTTGGCCACGCCCTCTCCGCCTGTCAGTCACGCCGCTCGCAGCCCACCCTGCTGGGGGCCCGGCCCCGCCCCCCCGGCCACGGCAGGCCACGATTGGCCGAGGGGGGGCTTGGCCCCGCCCCCGCGGCGCAGGTTCGGGTGAGAGGCGATCGCGGCCGGAGCGGCACCGGGAGCGGCACCGGCGGCGGGAGGTACCGCGGGGCCGGGCGCGGTCGGGCGGGGCCGGGATGTCGGGCTGGGCCGGGATGGGCTCTTCCCGCACCGGCGGGACCTGAGTCGCTATCGCGACGGGTGAGCCAATCGCGACAGGTGCGTGTATCTCGACATGCGCGGGTATTGCGATAGGCGAGGACGGAGGGGAGTGTCCCGGCACCCCCGTCCGGGGCGCCTCGCCGGGGTATCGCGGGGCAGAAAGGTTGTGTGTGTCCGCCGCCTTCCGACGGAGAGTCACCTGTCGCGACAGGGCGAGGGTGTCGCGACAGCGCGAGGGGCTCACCTCGGTGAGGTGTGGCGCCGGGGCCGACTGCTCCGCCCCGAGCGGGCAAGGCTCCCTCGTCGGCGCCGTGTCGCGACTGCGAGCGGAGCAGCAGGTGCGCGGGGCGCGGCGGAGAGGGCATCCCGGGGTGGCGGGTGGGGGGCGGCGGAGGTCCCGCCGGGCCCGGCTCATTGTTCCGCCGGGGCTCCCGGGCGGCCCCGCCCCGGCTCGGAGCATCCTTTGTGCTGGGCGGCCCCGGGCTTTGTCTGCGGGGCCGCCCCGGGCCGGCGGGGCCGAGACCCCCGTGCCCCCCGGACCTCGCACTGGGGCCCCCGGACCCCGCACCGGGACCCACCGCAGCGGCACCGCCCCCGCACCTCGCCCGGGCCTGGCCCGCACCGGGGCTGCGCCCAGCCCAGCGCCCTGCACTGGGGGGCGGCCCCGCTCTCCGCCGGGGACCCCCGCACGGGCTCCCCCCGCTAGCAGCAGCCCCGGTTCGGTGCCCGCTGCCCCGGCCTCCTGCCGCAGTGACCCGGCGGGCAGCGCCGGGGAGGAACGGGCACCAGGGAGCGGGGCCGGGACGCCCCGCCGTGCCCGAAACCCGCACCGAGACCCGCCGCAGCGCTCCTCGCTCGTTCGGGCGTGGCCGCGCCGTTCCCGTGCCCGGCCGGGCCGTGCCAAGGTGCCCGCGGGGACGAGGACCGGCCTCCCGCCGGCAGCATCCCGCTCTTGGCGGCACCGCCTCTGGGGAAGCATCCCTGGCCCTTCGCCCGCCCATCGCGGCCCCCGCGGGTCTCCCGCTCCCTCCCGGGGCGGTGGCTTGGTGGCACCGCAGCTCGTCCTGGCCGGGGGCCGGTCGGAGGGACCCCGGCTGCGGGACCCCGGCACCGTCCTGGGCAGGGCTGGGGGGCCGTGGTGGTGCGAATCCCTCGCGGGAAATTTCCCGGGCGGAGGGCGATGCCCACCCCACCACCGCCTCCGGCCGGGGACAGGCGGTGATCGCGGGTCGGTGTCACCGGAGTGACGGTGGCCGAGCCCAGCCCTGACAAAGCGGGGTCCTGTCGGGGCACCCACCGGCAGGGTGGGCGCGGGCAGGGCGGGTGCCGGGGTCTCGCCGCCGCAGACAAAAGCGGGGGGCGGTGAGGGCCCCCCGGCCCCGCCGCGCCTCACAATGCGGCAGCCCCGGCACAAAGGCCGGGCCCGGCAGCCGCCCCGGCCCCAACAGGTGCCCCCGGCAGCCCCCGCCGGGCCGGGGTTCCTTTGTCCTGCCGGGGTCACAGCTGTCCCCGCGGTCGGGGGCCGCCGCGGCAGCCGGCGGGGCTGGGGGGCTGCGAGCACCCCGAACGGCCGCGCCGCTTTGTGTGCCGGGAGCGGCGCCGCGGCCGCGCCTGCCGAGCTGGCCGAGCCGGGGGGCTACGGCGCGGGGTGGGCGGGGGTCTCCGGGATGGTGGTGGCCCCCCCGGCGCTGACGCTGCGTTTCTGCCCTGCGCGGGAGCCTGTTGTCTGGCAGAAACCTCCGGCCACCGCGCCAGCTCGGCCATCGCCGGCTGGTGCTGGCTGTGCCGCCACGCTGCAGCGGCTGGCCGGGGCAAGGGCCCCGGTGTCACCAGGGCTGGTGCCATGCTGGCACTGCGGCACGGGCTGGGGGACGGACGGGCAGAGCCCCCAGGGATGCTTGGTGTGAGCACTGGGAGTGAGCTGAGGGGCACTGGGAGTGAGCTGAGGGGCAATGGGAGTGAGCTGGGGGCACTGGTGTGAGCTGGGGACACTGGTGTGCCAGAGAGGCCTCAGTGGGCAGTTGGGGCTGGGCATGGGGACTGGGGACCGGTGGCACAGGGACAGCAGGGCTCTCCTGTGGCAGTTCAGAGGGTCCTTGAGGAGGGGGTGAGAAAGGGGCCTGGCACAGTAGAATGAGGGCAGTGTGGGGGCAGCAGTGGCAGTGGCGTGGGTGGCTCCATGGTGGCCAAGGCCACAGGCAGCGTGTGGAGCTGCCAGTCCTTGTCTGTGCACAGTGGTCAGCCCACCCCTATGCCTCCAGCAATACCCTGTCCCCTGCCAGCCCCGCACCCTCCGTGCCATGCTCTGCCACACTCTGCCATGCCCACCCCCTTCCCCCACCGTAGGCAGCCCCTCTGTGCCCCATCCCCCCTGTGCTGGGGGTCTCAGGGCGGTGGGTGCTGCAGCACCACTGCTAGTGGGTGCTGGCTGCTCCCTGCACGCTCCGTGCTCCAGATCCATCCATCACCACAACCTGCTTTCATCTCGGGGTGCGACGTGACACCTCCCCCTGCACCCCCTCTATGCTGCACCATCTCCCCCCTGCACCACCCTCCTGCGTCCTCCTGCCTGGCCCAGCCCTGCCCTGGAGTCACAGGGGGCTCACGGGGGCGATGGGCACTGCAGTGGCACTGTGGGCACCAGCTTGTCCCCTCTGGTCCCACCCCACCAGGTCTCAGCCCTGGTGTCTTGGCCCACCCTGGCTGACGAGGGGACTCAGAGGGTCCCTGGCTGGGGCTGAACCCCTCGTCCTCCTTGTGCCCCTCATCTCTTTTGTTCCCCTTGTCCCTGGCAGTGGTGCCATGGGTCTGGATGCCCCCCAGCACAGCCCTCACATGGGCCAGTGGCCTCCCTGGGTACCTGAGGCAGAGCTGGGGGCAGTAGGACCAACTGGGCTGGGGTGACAAGTGCCCAGCTTGCCATAGTGACCTGGCATGCTGCACGAGGTCATTGCCACCCCGCCTCGGTCCTTCGGGAGGGTCCCTCAGCAGTGACACAGCTGTGCATGCCAGTGACATTCCCGAGAGGGGCTGCCTGCAGGACCCCGGCAGCTGCTCCTGCTGCCCTGTGCCAAAGCAAGGATGAGCACTGGCTGGCACTGGGCTCCCCCACGGCAGGGCTGGCACTGCCACTGCACAGCCCCAGGGCAGGAGCTGGCCCAGGAAGGGCTCCTGGTGCCCCCCAGCATGGTGGTGGTCCCTGGTTGGGCACAGCCACTCGCCCCCCTCAGCTGCTGTGGCCCGTGGCTCCAGGAATGCCCAGCTGCCAGCAGTGCCTGACCCAGCCTCACAGCCAGCACAGCTCCTGCCAGCTCCGGTGCCTGGGAAGCCATTTGCTGCCCAGCAGGTGTTGGGATGGGCGCTGGGAAGGGTCAGCACAGCTCAGGACCGTCCCTTTCGAGCTGTGCCTGGGTCCCAGCACCCACCAGAGTGGCAGCGGGGCCGTGGGGGCACTGATGACCCCTTGCCAAAAGGTCTGTGCCCCCACCAGCAGCACCCTCTGCCCCGTGGCTCAGTGCTGGCTCCAGTGTGCCCATCCAGGGGTCTGGGGACACAGAGGTCGGGTGGGCATCAGGGGTTGTTCCCACAGGGCTGCTTGGTGCCAGCATTGTGCTGGCAAGGCTGGGCTGTGCCACGCTGCACACGTGTGGTTCGCTCGCCTTTGTCTGCTGGAGGGGTCCCTGGGGGTTCTTGCAGTGGGGTCTTTGGACTGGGGGCTCTGTTAGGGTCCCAGCCCACCTCATGCCCCCCGAGTGGGCATAGCTGGCACGTGCTGTCCCCGCTCCAACAGGTCGATGGTGTTTGACCTTCACCAAATGACTTATCGATCGTGTCTGGGGGTGCCCCTCACTGCCGGGGGCTCAGGCACTGCTGGGGCAGCACGGGGGTCTCCGGCAGATCCGGCGCTGTGCAGGGCTGTGGGCAGAGACCCCCTTGGATGGTGCCAGTCCCAGTCACCCACAGAGACAAGGCAGGCAGCCTGCCCCAGGCATGAGTGCTGCTACCTCATGGGGACACCAAGCAGTGTCCCCTCAGCATGTGTGGCACCAGCAGCTTGGGGGAACTGGAGGGGCAATGGGCGACAGGCAGGGATGGGGTCCAGCAGCCCTGCTCTGGGTGCGGGGACCATGGGAGGGGAAGCCACTGCCCAGGGTGCAGACTGGTGCCACCGGAGCAGGGGGCTCAGTGGGGCAGCAGCCCCCAGCTTGGTGCCAGGGCCCCTCCTCTCCGCGGATTTCCCAGGATAATCCATTGACACGGCCGTGGAGGATGCGCAGGCTGAGCCCTGCCCCGGGGCATTTCCGGCAAGGGTGGGCAATGGGGTGACCCCTCGGCCATTGAGGGCTCCCAGCGGTCACCCCAGCACCGCCCCTACCCCACAGCACCATGATGGCCAACGCGGCCACCATGCGGATCCTCATCAAGGGGGGGAAGGTGGTGAACGACGACTGCACGCTCGAGGCCGACGTCTACATCGAGAACGGCATCATCCAGCAAGTGGGGCGCGAGCTGATGATCCCCGGCGGCGCCAAGGTCATCGACGCCACCGGCAAGCTCGTCATCCCGGGGGGCATCGACACCAGCACCCACTTCCACCAGACCTTCATGAACGCCACCTGCGTCGATGACTTCTACCATGGCACCAAGGTACCCTGAGCCCCTGGTGTGGTGGTCTGCTCCCCGCTCTGGAGGGGCTCCCCGGGGCACTGCTGGTGTGCTGTGCTGTGGGGTGGTGCAGTGCAGCTCTCTGCCCCAGCAGCCCGGCTATGCCCAGTGGCATCAGCTCCAGAGCAGCATTGTGGTGTGGCACAGCCTGTTCCCATGTCCCTGTCCATCACGTCCCCTTCCTGTGAGCACTCTCCTCCCATTCTGGGGCCGTGGCACTCTGTGCCGGCTCGGGGACCCTCTGCCCTCCCTGTGACGGTGGCACCATGTACCGGGTGCCACTGCCTGGGGGTGTCAAGGGCCCAGCACAGGACTGTCCCTGCAGCTTGTCCCACTGTCCCAGGGCCTGTACAGAGCAGCCATTGTGCCAGGCCAGCGCTGGCCGTGCCTGTCCCCGGGGTGTCCGGTGTCCCTGGGTGGGGGGCTCAGTGATGGTGTCCCTTGGGAACATGGGCCAGTGCAGTGCCCACAGGCACCCCGTGCCAGGCCTGCTCCCCATCACCATCAGCTGCCTCGTGGCACCGCGCCGGCACCTCCCATGAGGGCCGATGGGCAAAGGAGCTTTGGGGATTAGCGGGGCCGGGTGAGCCGGGGACACCGGCGGTGCCACAGCGCCTGCCCTGCCGCCCACGCCACCGTGGCGGGGGGGCTCCCTGCGGCCCCACCCTGTGTGGGGCTCTGTGCCAGGGGGCTACTGGGGCCCCCAGCCCCCCAAATCCAGCCTATCATGCAGGTGGGACAGTGGGTGTGCCAGTGGTGACAGGATGGGGCTCTCCGGACGTGCTGTGTGCCCTGATGTGCTGCTGCAAATGAGCAGCTCTGGGTAGGGCCAGGGAGACGTGGAGGGTCCCCTGCCTGCACCCGGGGCCCCCACCTGCCTGGGGGCAATGCCGTTCCCAAATGTGGCCACGCTGGCCTGGCATCTGAGGGCTCCCTTGGCTCCTGGCCAGGCAGGATCGGTGCCAGCAGTGGGGGGATGAATCCCGACCCCCAGCTATGGTCCCTGTACCCTGCAGGCAGCACTGGTGGGGGGCACGACGATGATCATCGGCCACGTCCTGCCCGACAAGGAGACGTCGCTGCTGGACGCCTATGAGAAATGCCGCAGCCTGGCCGACCCCAAGGTGTGCTGTGACTACGCCCTGCACATGGGCATCACCTGGTGGGCGCCCAAGGTGAGTCTGGCACGGCTCTGGGAGCCCGGGAGCAGCTGCTGGGACTAATTCCCATCCCCGTTGATCCCATTAGCTGCCTGGGGGGTGGGCTGAGCCCCCAGGCTGCCTTTTGAGCTGCTCTGAGCTGGGCTCAGCAGGGCAGGGGCTCAGGGGTCTCCCTGGGGCAGGGGGTCCCTGCAGGGCTGAGCCCCTCACCAGGTAGGGAGGGTGGTGCTACTCCAGAGGGAGGACCAGGATGCCCAGGGACGGTGGTCCCAGCTTGGGGGGGAGCCCAACCTGCAGCATGACCCCCATGGGAATGGCAGTGGGGGCTTGGTGCCTGGACCACATCCCACAGCACGCTCAGCCCCTGCAATCCCCCCAAAGCTGCCAGAGGGGGATCAGACCTGGCTCCCAACTGTGCTGCGGGGAGACCCCAGCCCCGACCCCCCAGACAGAGCAGGGGGTGGAGGGATGGAGCGAGTGCCCCCTGGGGGGTGAGAAAATCCCCTCCACTCCCCTCAGCAGCTGTCACTCCCCAAGTCACCCACAAATCCCACATCCCATGTCCCCAGTGGGGTGGGTCTGTCTCTGCCCTGTGATGGGGCCCCTCGTGGTGTGCGGGGAGCGGGTCCACACTGAACCCCCCCATCCTGGCACAGGTGAAGGCAGAGATGGAGACGCTGGTGCGGGAGAAGGGAGTGAACTCCTTCCAGATGTTCATGACCTACAAGGACCTGTACATGCTGCGGGACAGCGAGCTCTACCAGGTCCTGCGCGCCTGCCGCGACTTCGGCGCCATCGCCCGCGTCCACGCCGAGAACGGAGAGCTGGTGGCTGAGGTGAGCACAGGGGGACAGGGGGTGCAATGGGCCCCCAGCCTGGGGCAGCAGAAGCCCCACCCTGACCCCCCCAAATTCCTCAGGGAGCCAAGGAAGCGCTGGATCTGGGCATCACAGGACCAGAGGGCATTGAGATCAGCCGGCCCGAAGAGGTAGGTCATGTCTGGTGTCACCCTGTCACCGCAGCCGTGGAACGGGTCATGGCTAGGATGCTCTGGGACATCCCACCCATCACTGTGTCCCCCACCCACCCTTCTGTGCCATGCCACACGTGTCACTGATGGCTCTCTCCACAGCTGGAAGCCGAGGCCACGCACCGTGTCATCACCATCGCCAACAGGGTGAGTGGTCCTGAGCATGGGGTGGGCTGAGAGTGGGCATCCCAGTTCCATGGGGGGTCCCCATGGAGCCAGGGTGCCACAGGGACAGTGCCACTGACCCACGCTCCACAGACCCACTGCCCTGTGTACCTGGTGAATGTCTCTAGCATGTCTGCGGGGGATGTCATCGCTGCTGCCAAGATGCAAGGTAGGGACGTGGATGGGGACTCCCCTCTCCAGGACACGTGTGGGCACAGAAACACCCACAGACACGGGACACATGGGTACTGGGGAGGCTGTGGGCTTGGAGGAATGTAGATATGGATCGTAGAGCTGCGGACAAGCAGAGAGATGTGGGCACCCAGAGACACGGGCAGGAACAGACACGTGGGCACAGGAACACGGGTGTACCCGCGGGGCCGTGCCCTCGCACAGGTGTGCACACCTGGAACCGCAGCCACCGGGCACCCGCGGGACACACACCTGGGCACCCAGGGGACACGTGTGAGCACACACACGGACACGGGGCTCGTGGCCTGACAGGCGCACGGGGGTCTGGGCACGGCCAGCGCACACAGACGTGCCCTCACACGTGTGCCCTCGCACGCCCGCCCCACTGCACACGCCTGTGCCTCCGCCCCGGCAGGGAAGGTGGTGTACGCGGAGACGACCACGGCGCATGCCACGCTCACCGGGCTGCACTACTACCACCAGGACTGGTTCCACGCCGCCGCCTACGTCACCGTGCCGCCGCTGCGCCTCGACACCAACACCTCCGCCTACCTCATGAGCCTGCTTGCCAAGTGAGGCCCCACCCAGCCACTCCCTCTCTGCCCGCCAGGCACCTCCCCCCTCTCCGCCAGCCACGCCTCGTGGTGGCTTCCCGGTGCCTGGCACACCCCGGTGCCCTGCTCCCATGTGCCATCACCCCATCACCCTGCTCCCTTGGTGCTGTGCCATCCAGGCACTCTGTCCTTCGGGCACCACATGTCCTGGGCACCCAGCTCTCTGTGCCTCACTCCCTGGACCTGTGTGCCCTTGGGGACATGCTCTGTGGGTGCTGCACTTCCCAAGCACTCGCTGAGCTCCTGGGGTGCGGGTGCCCCTCCTGGGCCCCACCCTGGGCACCCTCCTCCCCAGGCACTGAGCTTCCTGGGCACCTCACTTCATGGGTATCCCAATCCCCAGGGACCCCACTCCCTGGGTGCACCATTCCCTGGACACCCTGCTCTCCAGGCACCCCGTGGTATGAGCACCCCATTCCCTGGGTACCCCATTCTCTGGGCACCCCACTTGCATGGGTGTCCCATTCCTTTGGGGATCCCGCTGCACAGGTGCCCCGTTCCCTGGGCACCCTCCTCTCTGAGCACCCCGCCCCCCAGGTGCCCAGGTCTCCAGGCACTCGATGGTGTAGGTGCCCCATTCCCTGGGTTCTGGGCTCCCTGGGCACCCCAAGTGGCCCCAGGGGTACCATCCCCCAGCCTGCCCTATCCCCCCGCAGCGACACGCTGAACATCGTGGCCTCGGACCACCGGCCCTTCAGCACCAAGCAGAAGGCCATGGGCAAGGAGGACTTCACCAAGATCCCCCACGGTGTCAGCGGGGTGCAGGACCGCATGAACATCATCTGGGAGCGTGGCGTGGTACGGCACTGCCAGCCCCTGGCACGGGGCTGGCCTCGGGGCTCTGTTGGGGTGGGACATCCTGTGGAGTGTTTGCTGGTGGGCAAGGTGCTCCCCAGTGCACCCCAGCGGGTCTTGGCGAGGGTCCCAGCCCCAGCAGCACCCCTGGGGTGTCACGGGGGCTCGTGGCGAGAGTATGGGACACAACCTGGCACGTCCTCACCCCTGTTCCCGTGTCAGGTGGGGGGTAAGATGGATGAGAACCGCTTCGTGGCCGTGACCAGCTCCAACGCCGCCAAGATCCACAACCTGTACCCCCGCAAGGGCCGGATCATCCCCGGGGCCGACGCCGACGTCGTGGTCTGGGACCCTGAGGCCACCAAGTAGGTGCAGCCTGTGGCAGGGGGCTGGGGAGGGGCTCCCCGTGCCGCCAGTGCCCGCTCACCGCATCATCCCCCTGCCCAGGACCATCTCGGCCAGCACCCAGGTGCAGGGCGGGGACATCAATCTGTACGAGAACATGCGGTGCCACGGGGTGCCCCTGGTCACCATCAGCCGCGGGCGCGTGGTCTACGAGAACGGCGTCTTCATGTGCGCCGAGGGCACCGGCAAGTTCTGCCCGCTCCGCTCCTTCCCCGACGTCGCCTACAAGAAGCTGGTGCAGCGGGAGAAGGTACAGAGGGGGGCCAGGGGCTGTGTTGTGGCCGAGGCAGAGCAGTGCCAGAGCAATGCCACGGTGTGGGGCAGGGCTGCATCGTGTGGGGTGCTGCACGGGACAAGGGGTCAGTGGCCACAGTGGTCCCAGTGGTGTGGAAGAAGGGTCTGTGCCACCACAGTGTCGTGCCACACTGTGCCACAGCCAGTGCCACGCTGGGGCATGTGACAAGAGCACGGCGTGTCTCGCTCAGGGGACAAGGGGTCCCTGCAGGTGGGTGTGCGATGGAGACCCTTCCCTGGGTCCTTGCTGGCTTGCCAGCAGTGCAAGGAAACAGTTGTCAGTTGTCCCAACGCTCGTGTGGCCCATGGGCATCCCAAGGCTGAACATCAAGGCCCCCCTGCCCCTCTGTCCTGGCTCTCTGCTCTTTGCTGGATGCAGCTCCACAGCTCAGAGTGGCACCACGTGCACCAGACACGCCTGGCTGGGGCTGCCCAGCCGCGACACCCAGGAGCTCTGGCAGCCCCCAGCACCAGAGCCCACCCTGTGCCCCAGTGCCATGGCTGTAGGGGACGTGCTGGGGGACTGGGGCGGTGCTGGTACTGCGAGGGGGGACCTGGCACTGTCACAGGGAGCTGGTCACCAGCACTGGAGTGCCTGGCTGGAGCTGTGTGTCTGCAGGGAGGGCACAGGGTGTCACATGGGTTTGGTTTGGCTTGGCATGGCATGGCATGGCATGGCATGGCATGGCTTGGTTTGGCTTGGCATTGCTGGGGGGACAGGGCGAGGGGCTGCTCTGCCAGGGTCACCCATCTCCCCCAGCCCCAGCTCCTGCTGCTCTGCACCAAGAGCCCCACAGCCTGCCCAGCACCCTGCTGAGTGCCCCCTCCCCGTGCCTCAACCTCCTCCCCAGCTGCAGCCCCGTCCCCACACCACAGCCCCCTCCCCAGCCCCAGCATGCCCAGCCCCTTCCCTCTCCCCGCCCGGCCGATCCGCACCCCGCTGCAGGGCCCTGGCACCCCTCAGCCCGCTGGCACCGCGAGCCCCCCAGCCCCGGCCGCAGCTTCCCCCCGGTGGGTGCTGACGCTCTCTCCGCTCTCTCTCGCTCCCGGCAGACTTTGAAGCTGCGGGGCGTGGATCGCACCCCGTACCTGGGGGACGTGGCCGTGGTTGTGCATGCTGGGAAAAAAGAGACGGGGACGCCCCTGGCCGATACGCCCACCCGGCCGGCCACGCGACACGGGGGCATGAGGGACCTCCACGAGTCCAGCTTCAGCCTCTCCGGTAAGAGCAGGGCCACAGTGAGGGGCCCGGCCCCCACGCCTCGGGCCCCCCCGGGCTCACTGGCAGCCCCATATCCGGCAGTGTCCGTCACCGGCTGGGCACTTTGCAACCCGGAGTGTCCCCATCACCCCCCCCGCCCCGCGGGGTGTTCCCGCTGTCACCCCAGGGTGTCCCGCCGTCCTTCCCCCAGGCTGTCCTGTCATCCCCCTCCTCAAGGTCTCCACTGCCACCTCAGGGTGTCCCCATCACCCCCCTAGGGTGTCCCCATCACCCCCCTCCGGCAGGGTGCAGCCCCCTTCTCCCAGGCAGGGAGCCATGGCAGAGCAGAGTTGCCCCCTTCCCTGGACCTGCAGCCCCTCAACCCTTGCCTGTCCCTCCCTCCATGCACTGTCCGTTGTGTGGCTGCACTGGCCGGGGGTCTGGGCTGGTCGGGGGAGTGGCTGGGGGTCTGTGCAAGTCTGGGGATCTGAGCCAGGCAGGATGGAGCTGCTGCTGGGCAGTCCCAGCTCCCCACGCTGTGCCTGGACAATGCTCCCCCGAGGCAGGACATGGGACATTGGGGGCTGAACGTCCATGCAGGTACATAGAGGGGCTGCACAAGGCAGCGGTCGGTGCTCCCCCACTGCATCCAGCACAGCCAGGGCAGGAGCGAGGGGACATGGAGCATCCCCTGTCCCCGCAGTGCTGGGGGGGCTGTCCCCATTGCCAGTGGTGCTGGGGTGAGGGGTTCTGCAGGACCGTGCGCCGAGTGCCCCCACCCTGACACCCGCTGTCCGTCCGTGTGCCCGGCAGGTTCTCAGATCGATGACCACGTTCCAAAACGAGCCTCGGCCCGGATTCTCGCTCCCCCCGGGGGCCGGTCAAGCGGCATCTGGTAGAGCCGGGGACCTGTCCCCCAACTGAGGACCAGGCACCGCCCCCAGTGCCCGCCGGACCCGGCTCGGGCGGGGCTCCCCTCGCCGCGGGGGCCCTGCCTGGCCCCCGTGCTGCCGGCGGGGCCGTGCCGGCGGCGGGGCCGTGTGCGGGGGCCGCGGAGGGCCGGGGGGCAGCGGGTGCCCCCCCGGCCCTTTTCTGTTTGCACGTTGGGTTTGGATCAGTGAATTTTTGACTTGTTTGTGCATCACGTGGAAATACTCTGAAGTGGTTTGTGTCACTAGCGTAGGGGAGACGCAGGGACCCCCCCCTTCCTGCCCCCGGCCTGACCCCGTCCCTGACCCCCATCACCATCCCTGCCTTCCCCCTATCCCTGACCCCCATCAGCACCCCTGAATCCCATTCCTGCCCCGTCTCCATCACCAAGTCCCTACCCCTGACCCCCATCAGCACCCTTAACCCCAATCCCCATCACTGTCCCCCTGATCCCCATCATTGTCCTCCTGTTTCCATCGCCATCCCACCACCTCCATCCCTGCACCCCCATCCTTCCCTGGCCCCCCTCCCACACCCCATCCCCCCCCATTCCCATCCCTTTCCCCCATACCTGACCCTCATCTGCACTCCTGCACCCCCATTCCTGCCCCCTCTCGCCCTCCCCTCTATCCCTATCCTCCCATCCCCATCCCTGCACCTCCCCATCCCCACACCCCCCATTCCCGCCCCTCTCTACCCCCCACACCCCGGCAGTGAGCGGTGTCACACACACCCCTGCACGAGCGTGGGCCCAGCAAGCTGTCCTGTCACAGGTGTGCACGTGTGTGTCACACCTGCGGGCCCGGTGAGGTGTCCCCAGCACACACCTGTGCACACCTGTGTCACACCTGCAGGCCCAGGGAGGTGTCCCCAGCACACACCTGTGCACACCTGTGTCACACCTGCGTCACCGGGCCCAGCGAGGTGTCCCCAGCACACACCTGTGCACACCTGTGTCACACCTGTGGGCCTGGTGAGGTGTCCCCAGCACACACCTGTGCACACCTGTGTCACACCTGTGGGCCCAGGGAGGTGTCCCCAGCACACACCTGTGCACACCTGTGTCACACCTGCAGGCCCAGGGAGGTGTCCCCAGCACACACCTGTGTCGCACCTCTCGCTCTCGAGTGTGTTTGCACACAGGTGTGTGCAGGTGAACCCCTCAGCACACCTGCACACGTGTTCCCACCCCTCTGACACCTGTTTCAGGCTGTGCTGGGTTCCCCCTCACCCACCAGGCCCCCAGTGCTGCTCCTGGTGCCGATGGGGGTCTGGGTGTGTGTGGTTCCCCCCGGGGGGTTCCTGTCCCCCCTGGTACTATCAGGGGTGCCCCAGCCCCCCTCCCTACCCCCCCCACCCTGTGCCCTCCCCCTGTAGGTCCCTGTAGGTGTTTGGGGGTCGGTGGGTGCCTGGCGGGGGGTCCCGTGTCCCCCTGGGTGGTCCCACACGGCCAATTTAGGAACCTGCCGTCCGTTGTTTGCTCATTAAAGACCGTTCACAGCGCCTGGCCTGCAGCTGCTTGGGGGCCTGGGGGGCCCAGGGGGGGATCGAAGGTGGGGGATCCGGATGGGGGACAGGATTAAGGACCCCACGGCCGTGGCACTGGGGACAAGTGGTGCCCAGCAGGGTGCTGAGAGCAGAAAGAGCCCTGACATGGGGACACAGAGGGGACACAGGGGGGCATGTGTGGGGACATGGGGACACAGGTGGGACACACGTGGTGACACTGAGGGGTCACACGTGGGGACATGGGGTGACATGGGGACACGGGGGACACACCTGGGGACATGGGTGGAGACGTGGGGACACAGAGGGGCAACGGGTTCTGTGGGGAGATGAGGACACAGCTGGGGACATGGTGACACAGGGGGACACTGTGGGAACACGGGGCTGGCCCTGCCACCACATGCACATCCGCTGCTTGGATGCACAAACACAGACAGGGGATGCAGGGGTCTCGCGGTGTCACCGAGGGGCGGGGGTGGGGGGCTCTGTGGTCTCTTAGGTGTGTCACAAGGGCTCTGGGGTTCCCCGGGCTGCAGCGGGTCCCACGTGTCCCGGCAGGGGTGGGTCTCGGAGGGTCTCTAGGGAAGTCCTAGAGTGGTTCCGGGGGTGTCCCAGGAGCGCTTGGGGGTCCCGAGGGGAGTTTTCGAGGACCCCGAGGAGGTCCTGGGGAGGTTGCAGAGGCGTCCTCGGAGGGTCCTGGAGGTGTCCCGGAGAGTCCTGGGGGTGTCCGGGGGATCTCGGGAGTGTCTCGGGGGTGTCCGGGGGGTCCCAGAAGGGTCTCAGGGGTGTCGGGGGTCCCAGAAGGGTCTGAGGTGTCAGGGTGTCCTGGGAGGGTCCCGGGGTGTTCAGGGGGTCTCGGGAGGGTCTTAGGGGTGTCAGGGGGGTCTCAGGAGGGTATTGGGGGTGTCCGGGGGTCCCAGAAAGGTCTCGGGGGTGTCCGGGGGGTCCCGGGAGTGCCCGGTGTGTCCCGGCGGTGCAGGAAGCTCCGCCCACCGCCAGGGGGCGCTGTGCGGGAAGCAGGGCTGGGGGGGCATTCCCAGGCCCGTTGCCATGGCGACAGGGAGGCGAGGTCATCGTGGTTTCCATGGCGGAGAGGGGGCGTGGCCACCCCGTTGCCATGGCCGATTAGGGCGTGGTCGTGTCAGTTGCCATGGCAACGTGGGCAGGGCCGCTGGCCGGCCCCGCCTGCCGGGGGGGCGGCGCAGGCGCGGTGGCTCCGAGCGGTCCCGGCCCGGTCCCGGTCCCAGTGTCGGAGCGGCGGCAGCGGAGCGGGGGGAGCGGAGCGGCGGCGGCCGCAGCCGAGCGGTGAGTGCGGCGGGGCCACCCGGGGGCCGGGGAGGGACCGGGCAGTGCCGTTGCCGTCGCTCGTATCCCCGCACCGGCCGCCGGCGCCGGCCGGGGGGGCCGCGGGGCCTCCGGGAATGAAGCGGCGGGGCCGGGCCGGGCACGGGGCCCGATAGGCGAGGCCGAGGGGCCGCGGGGCCTCCGGGGATGAAGCGGCCGCGGGTGGTTTGGGGGGCCCGTCCGGTGCCGCAGGGGATGGAGCGGACGCGGCCGGGCCGGGAACGGGGCCGGGGCTGAGCGGCGGGGCCGGGGCTGAGCGGCGGGGCCGGGCGGTCCCACGGGGCCGGTGGCGGCGAGGCCGGGCCTGACTCAGCGGCGGCCATTCCTGTGGCCCGGCTGTGGCTCCCTCGGGGCCGCGGGCACGGCACGGTGCGGTCCCGGTACGGCGCGGTCCCGGTACGGCACCGGCAGGCCGGGAGCTGTAGTCCCGGCACCGCGCAGCACCAGCCCGGGTATCGCCGCCGGTCCCGGGCATCGGCGGGGCCTGGGCGTCCCCCAAAGATCCCCGGGCTGGGGGGTCCTGCGGGGCCCGGGCCGCCGCCGGTCGGGCAGTGTCGGTGCCGCCGCTGCCGTCCCGCCGGTGTTGGTGTGAGTGACGCTCCCGGGATGGTGCCGTGGCGGTCTCGGGCGGCAGGCGGCTGTGACCGTGACCCATCGAGCGTGACGCGCTCCCGGTGCTCGGGCTCATGGCGGCGGAGTCACCGGCACGGCCGCGGTGTCACCGGGACGGGATTGTCACCCGTTGTCACCGGTGCGGTTGCGGTGTCACTGGCGGGTGTGTGTCGGGATGGGGCCGGGCCCCTTTCACCTGTGCTCCCGCGCCGTCCCGGGGACATCCATCCCCATCTCCCGCCCGGGCCTTCCCGAGCGGGTCCTCCCGCCGCGGTCGGAGCGCACAAACCCGACCCTCAGCGCCGCCCTGAGACCCCCCGGTGTGAGCCCTCACTGTCCGTCCTGTCACGCTGTGGGGACACGGTGGGGACAGCACTGCCCGGCGGCATGGCACGGGCAGAGTGTCCCGGCCGGGGGTGGGAGCGTGTCCCCCGCCCGCCCCGGCGCTCCCGGCTCGGCTCATCCCGCGGCGCTCGGCATTAATATTTCAGGAGCAGGGGGGAGGGCTCCGCTCTGCACATGCTCCCGCCGCCGTACCGAGTTATTTAGGTTAGCGGGAGCCGAGCGGGGCGGGGGGATTTGCGCGGCCGGGCACCCAACCCGCGTTTCGGACACCGGCACCGCGCAGGCATCGCCGTCGGGAGCCGACAGCTCCCGGTGCGTGAGCGGCCGGTTCACCTCGTCGGGACGGGCACTGCCGCCGGGAGACAGGGAAGGGTGCCGGGGATGGAGCCGGTGCGGGGCTGGGGGCTGCCTGCGCCCGGCAAACCCACCTGTGCCCACCGCGGCGCGGGCTGGGGAGCGGAGATGCTCCTCTCGGGGTGGGGGGAGGTGGCACTGGGGGGACCCCTGGCGCGGGACAGCGGCGAGTGGCCACCCCTGATGGCACCCGGGCCAGCGTGCCCGCTGCCAGATCCCCGGCAGCCCCGCGGCGGCTCCGCACGGCGCTCAGCCCCCGCCGGGCTGTCTGCCACCCCCCTCGCGTGTTTGTCACTTGAGAAGCCACCGGGACGGCTCCCAAAATAGAACCCGCCAGTCGCAGCAGCCCAGTTCGCCCCGGCACCACGGTGCTGCCGGGCCGGCACCGACGCGTCGCCCGGTGCCCGCCGTCGGTGCCGCCCCCGGGCGCTGCGCTGGCACGGCCGCTCCGGCGCTGGCACACGCGTCCAGCTTCACTCTGCTCCCGTTTGTTTGGGCAGAGCGGCCCGGGGGCTGCGCCGTGGGACCGGGCCCGGACGACCTCTGCGTGCGCCCCGGCAGCGCCGCGGGACGGGCACGGACACAGCCCGGGGCCGTGATTATCAACTCGGGGCCGGACAATTAAAATGCAGCGGTAAGCGTCTCCCGCCTGGCCGGGCGCCCGGCAACAGCCCCTCTCCCTACGGCCTGCCGGGAATCGGGGCTCAGTTCTTATTTTCGTTAGTTTTTTGGCACGAGCCGGCGGCAAACCGGCCGGGCCGGAGGCTCCCGGCCCTGGGCGCGTCCATCACCCCGCGTCGGGGCGGCAGCGAGTCGGAGGGCGCCGCAGGCCCTGGCTGCCCTGTCATTACACCCGGGCGTGCTCGGCGCTGCGCCGGGGGCTTGGAAGGTGTTGGGAGGTTTGGGAGGGTAGGGACGGGCTGGGTGGCACCGCGCGCCCCGGCCAGCGCGTCTCGCTCCGGGGTCAGGACACGCCGGTGCCTGGCGGGGTCAGGGTTTTCCCGGAGGGGTCAGGGTTCTGACAGCGTGTCACGGTTCTCCCCGCGGGTCAGGGTTCTCCCTCGGGCTCTCACGTGTGCCGGCGTGTGCGGGAGTCGGGGTGCGGCTGGTGGCGACACGTCGGGCTCGTCTGGCGCCGTGACACCCCAGTTCATCCCACTGGGCAACCCGTCCTCATTCGTGGCCCTAAGGGGTCCCTGCCCCGTCCCAAACGAGGGCAGGGGGGCTAAGAGCCGTGGCGGCCGTGGCGGGTCCCACCGGGCATCCCCCGCTCCCCCGGGGCACGGTGCGGCCCCGCGGCTCGTGATGGGGTCCGTGCTCTGCCGGCAGCAGCTTCGGTTCTTTGGGGAAGGGCCGGCGATGGCGGGGGGGTGTCGCGGCTCCCGGCCGGGGTGGGTGGGCAGGCAGCCTCCCGCCCCCCTCGGCCCTCTGCAGCCCCCGGCCCCGGCGCGGCGTTCCCGGCAGCCGCGGCACCGCAGTGCGCGTGGCTCTGGCTCAGCGCCGCGCATGACTCAGCTCCGCTGCCGGAGCCAGGGGAGGGGGAGCGGGGCAGAGCCTGGGGGGGACCCCTGCCCGCACCCCGCTGGCTCCAGGCCGCGGGACGGGCGCGGGAGGGGCTCTGGCTCTCGCCCGTGCCGGAGCGGTCGGTGCCCACCGCACCGTGCCGGGGATGGCGGCGGCGCGGGGGCCGCAGTTCCAACGGCTGCGGTGGCGGCTAAAAATACCGCTACCCGCCCCCAGCTGCGCGCAGTGGCACGGCGGAGTGGGCCGGGGGTCCCGGTCGCGGCGGGGACGGTCGGCTCAGCTGCCCGTGGGGTTCGAGCAGCCACGGCCGTGCGGCATCGCCGGTGCTGAGTCACCGCGGTACTGAGCCCGACCGTGGGAGGGCTGCGGCCACCGGCACCTGTTCCTCCCCAAACGGGCAGCGGAGAGGTGGCAGCGCCCCACAGCCCCCCGCCAATGCACCCCCAGCCTCCCAGGGCACAGCCGTTCGGTGGCAGTGCCCCCCTCACCCCCCCGGCCTGTGACAGCGGGAGGGGGGGTGATGGGGATCACCCCCCCCAAGCCCCCGCCTGGCAGCTGGCCCGGGCCCCGCAGCCCCCCTCGCCAGGGAGGGAAGCGGATTAACGCCGCCGCTGCCGCCGCTGCCACCGCTGCTGCGCGGGGGGGGCATGGGGACCCCCGCACCCGGGGAGGGGCAGCGGGGCTGGGACCCTCGATTGGTCCCTGAGCTGAAGCATTTCGTGGGGGGCAGTGGGATGGGTGCTCGGTGCCCTCTACTCTTTGGTGGGGCTCCCCTTGCTCTGCAGTGCCACAGCCATGGACAGGGGGTCCCAGAGCCCCCCACCATCTGGGCACGAGCCTGTGTCCATGCCTGCCGGCAGATGTTGCCCCTCTAAGCCCTGCTCTAATGGACCCCAATCCCGATCCTGACCACAGCAGATTAGGCAGCACCGGGGGCCGGAGGGGGGGCCCTAAGCTGCTTAAGGGCAGCGGCCCCCGGGAGCCCCGTGACCTCACACAGGGCAGCAACAGCCCCCCAGTGCAGAGGCAGTGCCCTCGGCAGTGCCTGCAGCCCCTCTATGGTGCCCACATCCCCTGGGACCCCCTGCCCATGAGCCACATCCTGCACTGCATCCGTGTCTTGCTCCCAGTGGCACCCTGTGACCTGGCTCCCCTGGGTATCCCTGTTCAGGGCAGGGGTCCACCCAGCTGAGTGGGCCACCATGGGACGTCTGGGTACCTTCACGCCTCCCTGTCACACCCCTCCTGCCTTATTTGCAGGTGCGGGTGGAGGGGGCGGTCCCAGAGGTCCCATGGCAGCCTGGGGAGCCCAGATGGGATGTGTGTCCCGGGTTCCAGTGCCCCCAGTGTGAGAGCCTGGGTGGGATGGATACCCTGGGTTCTGGTGCCCCCAGTGCGGGGTTAGGGTGCCCCAGGTGCCGGTGTGACCCCCGTTTCTCACAGCTGGGGTATGGCCGTCAATGTGTACTCGACGTCGGTGACCAGCGAGAACCTGAGTCGCCATGACATGCTGGCCTGGGTCAACGACTCCCTGCAGCTCAACTACACCAAGATCGAGCAGCTCTGCTCAGGTGGGCTTGGGGGGCGTTGGGGACACGGAGGGGGTGGTGTCAGGGTGCCCTCAGCCCCCCCTGACTGCAGCATGGCCCGGCACAGGGGCTGCCTATTGCCAGTTCATGGACATGCTGTTCCCCGGCTGCGTGCACCTGCGGAAGGTGAAATTCCAGGCCAAGCTGGAGCACGAGTACATCCACAACTTCAAGGTGCTGCAGGCCGCCTTCAAGAAGATGGGAGTGGACAAAGTAGGTCCATGGGGATGGTGGGGGCTGTGCCACGGGGGGCTGTGCTATGCTGTGCCGGTGTCCCCACCGTGCCAGGGGCTGCACTGGGAGCGCAGCCCCACCGGCCCCTCCGTGTGCCCCCAGATCATCGCCGTGGAGCGGCTGGTGAAGGGCAAGTTCCAGGACAACTTTGAGTTCATCCAGTGGTTCAAGAAGTTCTTTGACGCCAACTACGACGGGAAGGAGTACAACCCGCTGCTGGCGCGGCAGGGCCAGGACGTCGCGCCGCCCCCTAACCCAGGTGATCACATCTACAACAAATCCAAGAAACCCATTGGCACTGCAGGTAATGTCCGGGGCCCCCCGGCGAGCGCTGCCCCTGCCCTCTGCACCCCGTGGCCAGGCGTCCCCCTGAACCCCTGCCTGCACCCTGCTCTGCTGCCTGCCTGCCTGGAACAGGGGGACTGGGTGGGTCTGCAGGGACAGTGGGGTAGTGGAGGGGACAGTAGGGAGCTGGGCCAGGCTCGGCTGCCTCTGTCTGCCCGCTCACCAGGGGCTGGGGGTGGTTTGTCCCCCCTTGGCTGCTGTCCTCCTGTGCTGTGCCACCACGGTGCAGCTCCTGTGGGCATTGGGGGCTCTGTGCCAGCCACATGGGAACATTTCAAGGGCTGGGACTCCCCCCAAATTGCACAGCAAACCCCATCCAAGCCACGAGCACCCCTGGGGGTTTGGGAGTGAAATCTGCCAGGGGAAACAGAGGCAGGGGGGCTGAAAGCACGAGAGCCTGGAGCCACGGCTCTGCCTACCCTTGCTGCCCACTGCTGTCTCCTGGCACGATGCAGGGGAAGGTCTCTGCTGACAGCCCCCCCAGCTGGCATTAACCCACTGGTCCCCATGTGCTGTCAAGTCCCCCAGAGAACCTCCCCCACCGGCCCCAAGAATACCCCAAACCCAGCCCGCCTCGGCAACGTGCCCAGCGGCATCCTTCGGAAAAACTCGCCTGCCACCCGCAACGGCGGCACCGAGGCCGACGCGCAGATCCTGGAGCTCAACCAGCAGGTAGGGGGGACCCTGCCAGGGGGGGCCGGGTGGCACTGCAGGGTTGTGGAGGGCCCTGAAGGCTCCAGCCATTTCCCTCTCCCACAGCTGATGGACCTGAAGCTGACGGTGGATGGGCTGGAGAAGGAGCGGGATTTCTACTTCAGCAAACTGCGGGATATCGAGCTCATCTGCCAGGAGCATGAGAATGAGAACAGCCCCATCATCACTGGCATTGTCAGTGTCCTCTACGCCACGGAGGTGAGTGCTGGGCACCACAGGACGCCTGGGACCCCTGTGTCCCCATGCTGTTCTCTGGACATCCATGGGAAGGGAGGGACCCCTTCCTCATGGCCACTCCCAGCCTCATTCGCTACCCCGGGTGCTGGGCGGGTTTGGGCTTTGTCAAAGCCCTTGTGCCATGCTGGGGGGGTGAGGGGGGTCAGTGTGCCCACCTGTGTCACCCCTGTGCTGATGGCCACCATATCCCCCTCAGGAGGGCTTCGCTCCACCAGAGGATGACGAGCTGGAGGAGCAGCCGCCAGAGGACCAGGACGAGTACTAGCCCCGGCCCGCGCCCGCGCCCCCCGCGCCGCCCCCCACCATAGACATTCGAGGTCCGAGCCCGCGCCTCGCCCTGCACTGTCACACGCCATCGCGGTCTCCGGCAGCTCCGGGGGGAACCCCCCCTTTCCATAACCAGCTGACGTCCCCCGGGCGAGCAGCGCGGTCGCGCCGGGGCCGGGGCTGGGGCCGGGCTCTGGCCCCGCGCTGGGGCCCAGCCCGCACCACTCCCTCCCCCTATTTATTTCCGTCGTCCCCCCGGTGTGAGCGAGGGCCGCGGCTGCCCTGGCGTCGCGCCCGCCCGTGGTGGGAGCGAGAGGGAACACCAAGTCCTTGGGGGCTGGCCTGGGGTGCCACGTGCTGCCTGCCCTGCCAGGACCCCCACGGCCCCGGGATCCCCGCGGCAGGGTGGGTGTGCCCAGCAGCCTGCGGGAGCGGGAGGCCGTGGTGTGGAGGAGGGAGGGGTTGCTTCAGGTTCCCAGGAAGATGAAAAGGAGACCCCAGCCCTGTGCAGCCGTGGCAGTGGGGGCCACCTACCCCCACGGGGGTCCTAGAGCGGGAGCCTGTCCCTGCTAGGGGGTGGGGACAGCGGTTGCCCTCTCCCCTCGCCTGTGGCGCCTCGGAGCCGGGGTCCGGAGTGGGTGACCACGAGGACTTGCAGCACCCGCCCGCCCCGGCCGCCGTGTTCCTGTCGCATCGCTTGTCTGGTCCATCACTCCGGTCGCAACGCTGCATCTGTGTTCAGTTTTATTTAAATAAACTCGTGTGGTAACACTGCGTGCTAGGGGGCACTGTGCTGGGGGGCACCAAGGGGTCCTGGACCTGCTCCCTGGCCTCAGGGTCCCTCCCTCCGTGCTGCCAGGCCGTGCGGGCAGGAGGTACCTGGGAGTTGTCCTGGCTGCAGGTTGTGGGGACGCTGCGGGCAAGGAGGGTTGGTACAAGTTGGGTCCATTTTGGGTTAGTGATTTGGTTTTGTGGATATTTTGGGATATATGATCCGGAGACTGCCTTGCTCCCGATGCTGCCCCGGCATTAATAATAAGCGTGGGGTGTGCAGAACTCTTTGTGGATCAAGAGGGCAGCTGCAGAGCAGGTAAGTAATACACCGCGGGCATTTCCTATTGAAGTGGTTTTCAGCTCTGTCCTTAAACCAAGAAATCAGGGGAGAGCGCGAACGCAGTCCCCCACTACCACAAATTATGCAGTCGAGTTTCCCGCATTTGGGGAAATCGCAGGGGTCAGCACACCCGGAGTGCAAGGGATGAGCCTCGCCCTGGGAAAACCACCTGCCTGATCATGGTGTCTCCCCTGCCAGGTAAGTATGAGTTGGCCAACCCAACCCCCACCGGCCCCGCACCGCGCACCCACCCCTAACACACGCTCACCGCCGACCCGGACCCGAACCCGCCCGGCCTCGCGTTCCCCACCGGCCCGCACGGCTCCGCCCCTCGCAGCGCCCGCGGACGCGCGTGGCCGCGGAGTCTGTGCGCGAGACGCGTCCCGGCGTCCCCCGCGAGTGGAGGATGATTTGCATATCCACGCCCACGCCTCCGCTGCCCCTCCCCGGGCTCCGCGCGCAGGGCAGCGCCCCCTGGCGGATCCTCCCGAATGGGTTCGGATCCATTGGATCCGCTGGAATGGAGGGAAGCGGGGCTGGCTGTTTAACAGGCGTTTCGTCGGGCAGTTGGTGCCAGGTATTAAGAAGAAATTCGGGAAGAGAAGGAGCATCGTGGACGGTTGTTTCCCAAGTGATGTCTGTAACCATAGGGAAGAGGGACAAGACAAGGAGAAGAGCCAGGTGAAATTCCCAAATCCTTTGTCAGCTGCCCCAACCGACATGCCAGGACAGGGAGGAGGCAGAGGGTGAGGTAGATTCTGGGGGAAAGGCTGGGGAGTAACACCCCTCCAGAAGGATCAGGGTGCCTGTTGCAGACAGGAGGGGCGATGGGAAAAGGAGCGTCCCGAACTGCAAATGGACAGAAGGGAGAATCGGAAGAGATGGGAATTATGGCAGAAATTGGGCTGGACTGAAGGGGACTGGTCCTCAGGCCAGTTCTCAGCTTCCAGGTAAGCTGGGGAATGAAACAATGGATTTTCTAGTGGATACTGGAGCAGCTGATTCCATAGGTCCTGGGGGACCATTAGTAAAAGGAAAGTCAGTGTTGGTGCTGTGAAATTCCTCAGGGACAGGGAATCCCCCCGACTATTTTGCAACCCGTGGAATTCAGGACTGGGAACGTAAAATGAACACATCGCTTTCTCCACAGGCTGAGTGTCCTTTGCCATTGCTTGGGCAGGATTTGCTGTGTAAGTTAAATGCACAGTTGACTTCTCCTCAGGACTCTGTCCTGTTGCATATTCCTCTGGAAAATACATGGAAAACACAGCTCTGCCCACTCACCGAGGGAAACCTGCAGACAAGGGAATCTCCAATGAAGTTTTAGGTGCAGTTGTACCGTTGGTTTGGGCTCTGGGAACTCTGGGACGAGCGAGAAACCCGAGTCTGGTAAAAACTGAACTGAAACCAGGAGTCGAACCAGTAAGAAAAGACCAACATCCCATAAAATGAGGGGCCTGGAGAGGACTGGAACCATTTATAGAGTCATGTTTAGAGTTTGGATTGCTGCCAATCGGAATCTAACACTCCAGTCCTGACAGTGAAAAAGCCTCAATCATCAGGATCTAGAGCAGTGTAGGAGTGATGGGAAGGTAATGCCTGGACACCTGATGTTCATCTGGAGTCGAGTCAAAGAAAGAAAGTTTGCACCAGATTATTCAAAAGAAGAGGATGGAGAAGACAATAAAGGGGAAATACTTGCAAACAGTGAGTGGTCTCTGAGAAGATGGCAGATGCACCAGGAGGTCCATGTGGGGGTAGGTGCTTTTGGCAGATCAGAAACACAAATATCTGTTAGTGTCAGTAAATACCTTTTCTGGTTGACTGGAGCTTTCCCCTGTTCCACCAATAAGATAGGGAAGGGATTAAGGCTTGTTAAAAGAAATAATATCCAGAAGGAATTTTCAGGTAATGTACCCCACTTTATAGCAGAAACAGTGCAGGAAGAATTTTTGCAGATTAATTGGGAATTATCCCATGGTGATCCCAGTCCAGACAGAAGCTGGAAAGAATCAATTAGACAATAAACCAGCAAATATCAAAGTTATGCCGAGAAGGTGAGTTGGAGTGGATGGCTGGCAGGTTTCCTTCAAACTGGATCCACTGTTGTCATTGTTAGAGTTTGTGTGACCCGGAGTTGTGTCAGAAGAGGAGGAGGGGGAGAGGCTGAGCCTTGCAGATGAGGAGGCGGGGAGATGCAAATCATCCTCCACTCGCGGGGGACGCCGGGACGCGTCTCGCTCTACAGACCCCACGGCCACGCGCGTCCGCGGGCGCTGCGAGGGGCGGAGCCGTGCGGGACCGGTGGGGAACGCGAGGCCGGACGGGTTCGGGTCCGGGTCGGCGGTGAGCGTGTGTTAGGGGTGGGTGCGCGGTGCGGGGCCGGTGGGGGTTGGGTTGGACAACTCATACTTACCTGGCAGGGGAGACACCATGATCAGGCAGGTGGTTTTCCCAGGGCGAGGCTCATCCCTTGCACTCCGGGTGTGCTGACCCCTGCGATTTCCCCAAATGCGGGAAACTCGACTGCATAATTTGTGGTAGTGGGGGACTGCGTTCGCGCTCTCCCCTGGCTTTCTTGGTTAAAAAACAGATATAATGGGAATAAAAGAACATGCGGAGATTCAGTACCTAAGTAGAATTTCTGTGTAGATCTGTCCCGGCCACCCCTCCTCGGAGAAATAAAGGATGAGAGGAAGTTGCGACCTGGATCTGCTGGGATTGGTGGTTTTCATGGGTCAGGCGAGGGTCGCACGGAGCTCCGGGGGTGCCCGAAAGTTCGCGGATGACACCAAGCTGGAGGACGGTGTCGATCTGCTGGAGGCCAGGAAGGTTCTGCAGAGGCACCTGGACAGGCTGGAGAGATGGGCTGAATCCAGCTCTATGGGGTTCAACAAGGCCAAGGGCCGGGTCCTGCACTTTGGCCATAACAACCCCCTGTGGCACCACAAGCTGGGGACAGAGTGGCTGGAGAGAAATGGACCTGAGGGTACTGACTGACAGCAGCTGAACATGAGCCAGGGGTGCCCAGGTGGCCAAGAGGGCCAATGGATCCTGGCCTGGATCAGGAACGGTATTTCCAGCAAGAGCAGGGAAGTGATTCTGCCCCTGGACTGGGCACTGGTGAGGCCACACCTGGAGTGCCGTGCCCAGTTCTGGGCCCCTCCGTTCAGGAAGAACATTGAGGGGCTGGAGCAGGTGCAGAGAAGGGCAGTGAGGCTGAGGAAGGGACTTGAGCACAAGTTCCTGTGAGGAGAGGCTGAGGGAGCTGGGGTTGTTTAGTCTGGAGAAGAGGAGGCTCAGGGGTGACTTCATCACTCTCTACAACCCCCTGAGAGGAGATTGTATCCAGGTCGGGGTCGGTCTCTTCTCCCAGGCAATCAAGCAGTAGGACAAGAGGACACAACTGCAGCGGAGAGGTTCAGGTTGGACATTGGGAAAAGGCTCTTTACAGAGGGAGTGGTCAGACATTGAAATGGGCTGCCCAGGGAGGTGGTGGATTCACCGTCCCTGGAGGTGTTCAAGAAGAGACTGATGTGGCACTTGGTGCTCCGGGCTGGGTGACAAGTGAGTGTTGGGTCACAGGTTGGAGTCGATGATCTCAGAGGTCTTTTCCAACCCAGTTATTCTGTGAACAGGACCCCTGCGGCCATGGGCAGCACCCGCCGGAGCTGGTGGGAGGACAGCAGAGAGCCCTCCCCTGGACTGGGATAGGGCAAGGGACACCAGAGCAGCAGGATGTGGGACCACGAGTGTCGGGGGCGAACCCCGAGGCGTCCGAGACCCTCAGTAAGGGCGGGGAGGCAGCGAGGGGAGCCTGCTCCCCCTCCCAGTGCGAAGCTCGGGAATAGCTGGGGGTCCTGGAGCATCCCAGGGCGCCCTCTCCGAACAGACACTGCCGATGCCCGGGGGACGCATCCACATTCCCGGCTGGAATTGGCCAGTGAGGGCTCTGGGCTGCCGCATCTGGAGCCGGGATGATCCCGGCCTGTCCCACCCTGCGTCTGCAGGCCCTGGGAACCTCCTGCGGGAGCGGCTCCGCGGAAGGGGCGCTGAGAGGCCCGGGTCACTCCCGTGGAGTCCGGGAGTGCAGCCGGACTTCCCGGGGATAGGAGTTGGACGAACCTTGTGCTAACACCACTCAAGGAGAACTGAGCGCAATAGGGCTGAACGGCACAAGTGTCGTACAGAGCCCCCACTTCAGAACTCATCCATCCTTGAACCGCGATTATCAGGGGAGAGCGCGAACGCAGTCCCCCACTACCACAAATTATGCAGTCGAGTTTCCCGCATTTGGGGAAATCGCAGGGGTCAGCACACCCGGAGTGCAAGGGATGAGCCTCGCCCTGGGAAAACCACCTGCCTGATCATGGTGTCTCCCCTGCCAGGTAAGTATGAGTTGTCCAACCCAACCCCCACCGGCCCCGCAACGCGCACCCACCCCTAACACACGCTCACCGCCGACCCGGACCCGAACCCGTCCGGCCCCGTGTTCCCCACCGGTCCGCACGGCTCCGCCCCTCGCAGCGCCCGCGGACGCGCGTGGCCGTGGGGTCTTAGAGCGAGACGCGTCCCGGCGTCCCCCGCGAGTGGAGGATGATTTGCATCTCCCCGCCTCCTCATCTGCAAGGCCCAGCCCCTCTCGGCGCGAAGCGGCTCT